TTAGTAGAACCATTATTTTACAAGTTACATCTTAACTGCTTGAATTTTACTGTAAGTTCTACCAAGTATCAAAATATTAATAAATCAACTAACTTTTTTTCAGGTAACCGGAATTATGTCTATTTATCTATTTATTTAATTAACCGATATACCATTTTTACAGCAAAACCTAATTGCTATTCCTGAATGAGGCACAGTAACATTTACACATTCTGACAATATTCTGTTCATACTATATTTTGTATTTACTTATATACTGAAATCACAGCATGATATTTCTGTTCTAATAAATATTTTGATAACCTTATTTTTACATTTTTACTGGATTTCCAACTCCTATTTTGACAGTAATGTAAAAAACTGTAATATATTTTCTGAAAGACAATGACATATTTCATGGTATTGGGTACTGTGATGCTGGTTGTTAATATTTTATCAAATGAAATTCCTTAAAAGTTGCAGAAAAATCCCATAATGCTAATATACTAATTTTATAGCAGCACTAAATTGAAACTTTGGCCCATTCTATAAAACAAAGCAACATAATTTTGTTTTTGTCATCTCCTGTAAAATTTCAGTTTTTACAGTTGTGTTACCATTGGGACAGTGTAATTGTTAAAATGGCTGATATTAACCCAGATATGTGTGACAAACAATAAATTGTACACCACAAATATCTTTTAACTTGATTATCTATAAGAATCATATTTATTGATAACAGCATAAATACTTTCAGTATGTAGTAATCAACCATAGAGTGAAGTTGTAAATTGCTGGCTTTGAAATATTTGGCGATAATATTGTGATAAAGTTTACAGTTTTTATAACATGGCCAAATTTGGAATATGATTTACTAAGTAAATATTTGTTATATATAATGAATACAAAAAAAATATTCTTTTTGTGTTTACTTGTAGAAAACACATTTATATTTAAATTTATAAATTGGATAAATTATTATTTTATAACTAAGAGTTAGGCCATTTGATTTTGGTGTACAAAATGTTGTACTACAGGAAAATACCATTTTATCTATTTTTAGGGGCTTTTTATTGGAGGATGCGCTTAGTATGTTAGAAGATGATGAAAATTTAGTAGCAAATGTAGATAGGATTACTTTGATATAAGATATAATGTTGACAGATAATTTACCTGGGCCACAATTACAAGCTTCTGCTGAAATAAATGTGCAAAATAATGACAGTAACGCATTAGTAACCGATTCTCAAGATAATATTTCATTACCAGAGCAGGGAGAAAAAAGAACAATTACAGGGTCTAAGAAAAAAAATCTACCACTGGGTAAAAGAAGACATTTAGATGGAAGATCAATGTATTATTGTAAATGAACTTTCAGAACAACATGATTCTAAGAAAATCCACAAGGAAAACAATTCCTGTAGCTGGCTGTATACCACGTATCACAAAAAAGAGTTTAGTCTTCGTAAAAAATAAATATACCCATTTACGAAGACTAACCTCTTTTTTATGATTCTAAGAGTCCTCTTGAATGATTTTCCCGTTTTTTTATGAAGAACTCATACACATATTTATGATAACGTCAGAAACTAATCAATATGCTTCAAAGAAGAATCGCCAACAAGAAGTTCCAGAATATGAAGTCAAAGCTTTTCTGGGAATCTCATATTAAGTGGGTATGTAAACATTCCTCGCAGGAGAATGTTTTGGCAAAGTGACAGAGATGCTAACAATTGACTTGTGACAGAAGCTCTTGAGATAAATTTGAATTTATTATATCAAAGTTTCATCTGACAGATAACTGTACCTTAGAACAAGGAGATAAATTTGCAAAAGTCAGGCCTTTGCTTGTAAATTTGAATACGAAGTTTATGAAGTACGCATATTTAATGACTTCAGATTCTGTAGAAGAAGCAATGGTTCCACACTTTGGAAGGCATTCATGCAAACAATTTATACATGGTAAACCCATCAGATAAGGTTTCAAATTATGGGTAGGTACATCACATTTTGGCTATATTTTTTAATTTGAACCATTTCAAGGATGATCAACTAATATTAGTAAATTTTATACAGATGTGTACTGTATGTGATGTGAATATTTGCGTTAAGGTAAAAATGGCGAAATGAAAAGTTCCACTTGGTTTTGATAACTTTTTTACCTTTATTCCTCTTATGGAAAAACAAACAAAAAATCTTTTTAGCCACTGACTGGCATGGTTAGAGAAAATTGTTTACCAGGAGTACACTTAGGTACAAGATTCAAAAATTATGAAAAAAGAAAAGAGAGGGACATATGACTACAGAAAAATTGCTGATCAAAATATAATTGCAGTATAATGGCATGACAATAATTTAGTAAAGTTCTGTTCAAACTCAGCAGGACATCAACCAATTCATTTTGTAAAGCAGTATTCACAGAAGGAGAAGAAGATGATCCAGGTATGAAACAAAATAGACAATCTTCCGTAATACTAGTAATATTTTTTATCATTTCAGGTAGAACAACCCCATCTCGTACATGAGTATAATGTAAACATAGACGGAGTAGATCTTAGTGATCAAAATATTAGTCTTTACCACATTTCTATTCGCGGGAAAAATGGTATTTTTCATTGATCAATCAATGCATTGACATGGCTGTTCAGAATGCCTGGCAACTTCATCGTTTGCATGGAGGAAAACTGGACCAGTTATCATTTAGAAGATGCATTGCAACATCATTGTTACAACAAAATAAAAAATCTGCTTCCTATTATCGAGGTCATCCATCAGCCAATGAAAACATTGATATTCGCTATGTTTGACTAGACCATTTAGTAATTACACATAAAAAATCACTTGATGTGGTTTGTGCCACGATATGGTTTTTCCTGTGTGGTGTTCAAAATGTAATGTAGACTTACATGTTAAATGTTTTGTTTCATACCACACTACTTAAGCCGGTCACTCACTATACTGTGACGTCATTCAATTTTATCGAATTCGACTAATTGACAAACATTTTGATCACCTGTGACCATGCATCCAACAAAATCGTTACAATTTTACCACAGAGAAACTGGTTTCTATGATGCAGTACTGCAGAATTAATATCATACAGCATTTTTTTACTTATTTTTCATAAATATTTTATTTTTACAATAAAAATATGTTTTTGTTAATTGATATAACATGTAAATTTGGAGACAAATATTAAAAAATATTTTCATGTAGGTTTTAGGCATATCTGGGTTAAGAGGCTAATAATTTTGCACAGGAGTTTGATACTTATACAAATAATATATTTATTTGCACAACTGATAGTCATAGGTAATCATTGTACATTACAAAATATATTATTTCATACAAATAATCACACAGAAAAAAGACTGTGCCTGTAATGTATTCATATGGTTATCTATTCAAACAGTTGATATACTTCAATAGTACAGTTAATATAATATTCTACCTCAACATAACAAAGAAAAGATAGGTACCTGAATAAACTAACATGTATCAAATGACAAAATTTAAACATTCATATCAATTAAATTACATTAAAGACATTTTGGAACTAAATATCTTGTGGCATATTTAAGTTAAATATGTATTTATTTCCGTTTAAACCCCAATTTAAACCTCAAAAGCTAAAGATCTTAGAAACTCCCTCTGAACACTCTCCAATCCATCAATGTATAGTTGATGAAATGAGGACCAGACAACAGAGCGGTATTCAAGACCTGAGTGTACCAGAGAACAATACAGTATTACAATAATAATATTAATAAAAGATGAAGAGAACAAGAAACTCTTGAAAGAAAGCAAGGTTCTGGAAGAACAAAAATATCTTCCACTCATGAAGATCTGATGAAGATAATTTGTTTACAATTCTTGCTTTAATATATTGTTGAGCTAAGTCATCTCTTTTAATAATAAAACTAATAACAACAACACTATTTTATGTAAAAACTATAATTTATGTAGCCTTTATAAAATGCAGGAATTCAACATATCAAAATTATATTTTTATATAATTTATATATTATACATATAATTTATATAATTATATAATGTCAGACCAATCAAATACACTGCTCAAAATGATCAAATCTTACTAAGAGTCCTATCAGTTTTTTTAGGAACCAGCTATACATATCTTTAACCAACTTTGTAATAATTTTTAGGAACAAAGACTGTAGTACCTTAGAGGTATATATATATATCGGGGTTTACCTGAACCTGTAATTCAATATAAAATTCGGACTTCTTCAATATTGGTGCAATGAACATAACCTCCTTGATATGTTTGATGTTAAATGTAAGCTTAATATACGTCAGTGTTGCCATATACTCAAATATTTCCCACTCTCACATATAAAATTATTGGCAAGATTTATATTATATGAAATGAAAATGTAAAATTGAAAAATACATATATAATTAAACAAAAATGTGAAAAATATATATATTTTTACCTATACATAGGTATATAATTCATTAAAATTATACCTATAAATATTATAAAATAAAATTATATCTTGCATTTCTACATTTAAAAATACTTATATAATAAAAACCATTAAAATTATGCTTAAAAATTAATAGTTTAGAAACTTTATAAATTACAGAATAAAGTAAAGTTAAATGAAAAAAAAATTAGGTTAAACAAAAGTATTTAGCTATATTTAAAATAAAAAATACTATTTTATGAATGCTTTTTAATATGTTGAATGTGAATGAATTCAAAAATTGTGGCTGTGGCGTGTACATTTTTACATTTTACAGAAGTAAAACACTTCACATTTACCTAAGTATATACCTAAATACAAATGTGAAGCATTTTACTTCTGTATAAGTTTTTTAAAGCATATATAATTTCGTCAAAGTATCTTTCTATTTTAAACACTCCTATACTTTATACAAAAAAAAGTGGCAACACTGTGTCACACAAACATATAGCTGGATGCCAGGTTATGTTCATTGCACCAATATTGAAGAAGTCCTAAAATTCTATATGAAGGTATATTGTCTTCACTTACCTTGAAAATACACAGGTTCCTTCTCAACAAAGGACATTTGAGATGTCGATCTTGTGATTTCCTCTACACTGCCTTTAGATGTGAATACTGGAACATCAATTTTAGATGTTGCATCTGGGACCACTGGAACATTAGAAGTTGAAACACTTGATGTAGGTTTATTTGCGTCATTTGCACTTTCTACTGAAGGTCCTGGTTTGGCAGCTAAAAGTTTTAAAAGACTAGCAGAACGTCCCCTGGCTTGTGTTGGCTTTGGAGGTTCTGGTGCAATGCCTACAGATTTTTCAGTAGTTTCCTTCTCTTTTTGAACTCTAAGTGCAGCCATAAGGGCCCCACGTCCTCTCGGCGGCGGTCTATCCATTTCTAGTTTTAAGTATTTGTTATAATATTAAAATTATGTTTCGTGTAGTTCGTATTCATAAAATTATAAACATAAATGTCTTCGACAAAATTTTCAAACACCAATAACTATGAAGAAACCACTCACGCCAGTAAAAATGTAAAGTAAAAACTACTGACTACGCGCTTGCGCCTCATTTAATCTTTGGCGATGACATTTGACAGTTGACATTGACAGGTAAGGCCCAATTTACATTTAAAATACACCTTTATATTCATAGACGTAATCTGAATTTATTTTTAAAAAGAAGCAGTAAACTGAGTAAACTATATGTAAGGATGAAAATAATTAGGCAAAAATATAATTTATTATCGATTGATATTGTCTACATCTCCAAACCCTAATAAAAACGTCGGACTCAAGAATTAATTTCAGTCTTTTTCAAACCTTTTTAATAATATTCTTGTAACAATTTTATAGCAAATTATTTCTTTTTTAAAATTGTGCAGTTTTAAATTTGGCTGTTACAAAATTATTATTGTCTAAACCAATACGATCTCTGCTTACTTACTATTGCTGAAATTGAAAATGTATGTCATATCATTGGTTGAAATGTTTGAGTTCCCACAATGTCAAAAATGAAAAACGCAATTTGTAGGTTCTTGTAGTTTCCTTGTATCCCGTTTATATGTTTGGCGTTTTGTGCATAAGTAGCGTTATGATAAAAATTAGTAAACAAAATGCTGATATTAAGTTGTAAAATAGTGGAAGTATAAATATAGTAGTTTTGTTGTTATTTTTTAATAACTTTCTACACATAATTCGATGGTATAGTATAACAATGGACAGCTCAAAAACTGATGAACTAACCTCAACAATGGGCAATGTCCTGTCAACGTCCAATAAAGAGGAAAAAAGCGACTCTAGCGATGCTACCCCGACGTCTTCAACCGATGCAAATACCAACTCTACGGCTTCTGAAACTGGTAATTATTTAAATCGAAATTATAACTTTCTTACGGTTATAATCTGTAACTTAATACCACTTATCAGTTGTCCTAGGTTTCAGACCAAGCCATTGCTATTTAGAACTTGTTTCAACATTTAGACACGTATATTGCATACCGGCATTATTGATAAATTCTAGATTGTAAAGTAATAAGTCACGTAACGATATAATTTTTTAGTATACTTTAATTAGTTCATTAAAAGAGCATTGCTTAAAGCTCTTATTGACTGATTAAATACTTAAGTTATTATTTGCCCAGTTCCTGTTTTAACTTGTTTTAGGTATGTGGTAATATAATTAATTAAGACTAAATCACATATTTGTGCTTCTTGGGTTTAAGGCATTAATTTTCAATTGAAAAAGCAGCTTTCTTTGTTATTTTGTAAATACTTGATTATTAGTACATTGACATATATATTTTATAAATTGATAATTATCAAATTTTCTAAATTTATTGATTGTATAAATTAAATAAGTTCTATGTTCAGTATGATCATATTTGATAAGTATAAATCATAATAATTATCTACAGCTTTGAGTTATGTTATATTCATTATAATAAACTTTACAGAAAGGAAAACACTATAAGTCAGTTATGATGTAGGCATTGGCATTGTATATTTCTAATTTTATGATTGATTCAAATTGTAATACAAATATGTAAATTATTATATATAACAGAAAACAAAACAAAAAAAAAAGGAAATACAGCATAAAAGGCGGAAGTAAATCTTAATAACTAAGAATTTCTGATTACTTGGTCATCATCAGTAGGTTCAGCCAAGTTAGAATAGGAAAATATCTTGGGAAAGGATCACTACAAGAACAATGCATTGCTTCTTTGTTTACTAACATAATTAAACTTTTATTTTATATTAATGTAATAATCTAATGTATTAATTAAATAATGTGATTAAAATAAGCATATGACAAAAATTACAGAGAACATTGATTTTTTTCTATTTTTTTGGTATATAAAAGGAGAACAATAACTGTTTAGTTAAGTAAGACAAATTTTAAATTGTTTTTCACAGTGGATTTGAAACATTATTTGGTGAAAATGTCATTTTATTGATAATTTTTTAATATATGAAAAACTTTTTATAAAGTATAATGAAATGTATAATATAATTGTCTGCAATTATCATTATCACTAATGCAAGCTCTAAGCTTGTTCAACTGGACCAATTTGTCCATTCTCTCCCATGAAGTTTTTGATTTTCAATGTATTAAAATATTTGTTTAACCACCATTCCAAATAACATTTTCAGCCTTGACCATAGATTTTATAATGGATTTAGATCTGGACTATTTCCAGGCCAAGACAGGACAGTAATGTCAGGAGTTCTCATCTATTCTATGGAAGTCTTGGTCATATGACAGGGTCTTTTATTCTTCTGGAACATGCATTGTTGAATATCCTCTTCAAACAAATCTCTGCTAGTCAGCAACAGTTTGGCTTGTAGTATTTCTTCCTTATATATTTGTTATTTTTATTGGCCAACTGATAAGCCAGTTGATTTGACAATAGCATTAAGTCCTTTATGGAGATGTGACAATCTTCTAAAGACTATGCTCATCTAATTGACTAAAATCCTGTTTTTTGCCTTTTCTTTTTCCTAATTTTAATTTGTTTATTTATTTACTATATGGGAAAGTCCTATTAACAGTTCAAATTACAATATACAATATCACAGTTAGGATTCAAAACTTGAAATTACTTAAATATAAAATCAATATCAAAAAGTTTAAAAAGTGAGACTAAAAATCTTACATACTAAAAATACAAGAACAAAATTCAACAATACCAATATACATATCACAAAGAAGAGATCTTTTTAACTGAGTTAAAATTTATATTGAAAATATCAAAATCAAGAACATTTAATTGCCCCATGTATCTATCAAATGGGTTGAGAATACCATATTGGGACCGTGCAAGTTCGGAAGAGCGACACCTGTCGTCGTAAATCAGCAAAATTTACTGCGCTTTCATGTTAGATCGAGGTTACCAGTTAACTGTCAAGGGCGTAGCCCCAAAAACGAATAAGAAAAAAAGTAAGATTAAGGTTATATCGGTATGTTATTAAAAGATAAACATTGTATGTAGTGTAAATACAAATAAATATATTATTAAATTACAGCATTACTGTTAATATGGATGCAATAATAAAAACTGGATTTGAGAAAGTAAATCACCAAATAACTTTTCAACAATTTTTTGTTGTATTTTTACAATTTATAACACAGCAATTACTAAATCCCATTTTCTTCAGTGACAGAAGGTGTAAATAAACAAAGGAATATGAAATATGACAATTTGCCAATTGACAATATGAGTTTATGAAATCTATGGAATGTGCAGTAAAAAATGCAAGATTTCTATGCTACTCGCGCAAGATCGTTTCTCTTATTACATTCAAGTACTTGCATGTCGCCAATAGGTTGTTCTGTGCAAAGGAATACTGAAAATATTGTGGTAACATAGAGCTTGATGGGAAACATAAAAGTTAATCTAGCTTAACATGTTTGGATAATCAATAAGTCCATGTATGATCTTATATATAAATATAGCTCCTTACATCACAATAGTTCTTGAGTGAGGGAAAGATAATGTTGTTTGGTACAGGAATAATCATACTATTTTAAATAGTAGTGTGGTAAGCACAATATCTCAAAAATTTATATTGGACTCTTTCTATGGTATCAATATTATTCTCAAAATAGGGTGACCAAATAACTGAACAGTATTCCAAACCAGTTTGAACTAAGCAACAATACACTAATCTTGTTGAATCACTGGAAAATCACTTGCAATTCCTAGTAACAAAACCAAGAAGTTTAGATGCCTTTATTGAAATAGAGTTTATGTGGTCGGAGAAAGTAAGTTTCTCATTAAAAAATCACCCAAATCACAAATAGAAGAAACTTAATTCTTCTATTTTAAAGACTTTACAAGAAAAACTTGTAAAATATTTTTTCTAGTTTGTAGTCTGTCTAAGTGCAACAAGGCTTGATCTTTTAAGCTATCAATAACTTTCCAAAATTTCAAGACCCTGCCAACATTGGACATTTGCTATTTAGGAAACAGGAAGTGAGGTCGTTAACAAAGACATTAAAAAGAAGTGGAGAAGTATGACCTCCTTTAGGAACTCCAGATGCTACTGAGATACTGTCAGACAGATGACAACCTATCTTGATTTTTTGACTTTTACCAGATGTAAAGTTTTTATTCCATTCAACAAATCTGACATGAAAGCCCACATTAATTAATTTGCCCAAAAGTATTTGGTAATCTATAATGATCAAATGTTTTGGAAAATCTGTGTATATTGCATCTATCTGTTTAGTCTTCCATTTGAGATAATATATCAGATTGATAGCAAACCAAGTTTGTTGTATTGGATTTTTGCTAAAGTCCGTTTTACGCTTGCAATTTTACCTGCAAGACTCAAGAAAGTTGCCCAAAGGCATGCGCAGTATGTTGTCAGCTGATTATTGCCTGCAACTTATTGCAGTTGCGCGATAATCGGTTTGGTGCCATTTTCTGTGCAAGTTTTCATGCAAGTCTAGGGGAATTTGTAGGAAGTTTGATTTTTTCACAATGTCAAATGTCATAATCACTGATTGACACGGAGACATGCCGATCAGCTGTTTCCTGTTTTGTTTATTATTTCCTTTCCCACACATTTGTATTTAGCTTGGCTTGATTTGTAGATTATCGGCTTTTTCTAATTTTAATATTTTTAATTAATATGTTAGAGTATCATCAAAAATTGAACTATCTTCTGCTCGAAGTACCAACAATGTCTTGCATAGTCTTGGCATTACGAAATTTACTATCTCTCTATCTAAATCAATCTATCTATTGAAATTAATTCTAAATATATCATTCTAAATTCTAATCTAAATCTATCGAAATTAATTCAATCTATCTATCAAACTAAATCGACTAAAGTGTTTTAAATAAACAAGTAATTAAAAAAAATCATAAATAAGTTAGGTTAAGAGTAAAAATTTCAACATTAATTGCAAGCTGTAAAGTCGCACATAAAGACCCTGCAATAAATTGCATGAAAGTTAGTCATGCAAGAAGTTGCAGCAAGTTTTCTTGCAAGCTGTAAAGCGGTCTTAAGAAAACCATGGTGTGAGATATTAAGCTTTTACATAACCAAGAAAGTTGCTTTTTCTATAAAACTATAGAATAGTTTAGAGATTGCAGATTGTATATAATATGTATCGGACTGGTTGTAAATAATAAACACAGTATAGGAAATACTACTGACTTTAATGATCACTCCAAAACGTAATGCAAATAACAATATAGATTAAATAGGTCATCGTCGCGTCTGTCTTCCTGAGTTTTGTTCTCAGCTGATTGTGACGTAACCGCACTGCAGGGTTGCCAATACATCACACTCCTCCCTCCTGGATGAATCTACTCATCATAGTCCTCCAAATACCTTGGAGGTTTTCTTATTCGAGCAGGTGGCTTTTTAACTTCAGCGGCCTGCTCTACAATTTCTGGTTCTGGGTCCACAAATTCGTTTGGATGCAGAAACAACGGTTGCGGAGTTACCATCAAGTACTTGCACATACTTGAAAAGTTATTTTTTTCCATCGAGGTTAACGGTGTAACTTCGTCTGTTGTTTCTTTGTCACACACACGGGTTCTGATTTGGTCAGAATGACGACGTAAAATTTTACCATCTGGGGTTTGAACTTTGTAGCTTAACGGTCCAGTGGTTACAATTATTTTGGAAGGAAGCCACTTTTGACCACCTGGAGCAAATGACCTTGCAAATACAGTGTCGTTTTCTTGAAAACATCTGGGTACTGTTTTGTAAGAATCGTTCATCTCTTGCTTAGATAACATCTCTTTTCTAAAGTCGGGCTGTAAACGATCAAATAATGAGTCCAATTTTCGCCCCATTAATATTTCTGATGGGCATCTCCCTGTTGTGCAATGGAGTGTAA